TGTGGTTTACATTTGAGGCACGTAGATCCAGAAATTAATATATGGGAAAATTAAAAATCATCCATCTAATCAAGTTTGTGCATCATTGTTTGTTGTACATATAAAACATTGACAAAAATTATTACTGGATGTATTAATATATCATTTCTGTGCATATTAATAATAAACATTTTCATTTTGAATTAACAAAAATCCTAAACGTTAAACAAATAGAAAAATGGACCACCAGGTACATGGTAAAATTTTTTAAGCTTTGAAATTTTCTATTCAAAGATGATAAAGATAATGTGAAAAGAAAAAAAAACACTTGAAAATTAAATAGGTAAGCTCATAAATTAATTATATAATATTAGATTGGGATTGGATTAGAAACAAATTAAGTTAGCACCACGTTTTTATGTTAAATCGAGGACGATTGATTGAGTGGAGATTAGGTTAAGTAATTAATTATACAATAATAGGATATGTATGCGTGTGTGATATATTATTATCTGGTGTATATAAATAATTTGACAAATTGAAAGGTTTATTTTAATATGATTTGATAACAATGGCTATATTATTTATACATATTTATACATTTATGTTTATGTGTGTATTGTATGAGAGTGCATACAATCAAACAAACATAAGCTATTATTGAATTCATTAATAACTTGAATGACAACAATATGTCACAGGCAAATAAAGATCACACTAGCAATAAATTAAAAAAATGCATTTTCGCGTGACACTTTTAAAGAATTTTTTTAATAATAATTTTTAAAAAAACAATTTAAAATTAAATGGTTAATTATTAGCATTACTGTAAGTATGTACTATTATTATTATTATAGCAACAGAGAATTTATTTATCGTGACATTATTTATTTTACAATGCAAATTTTTACCAAAGTGATCAAAAATCCTCCACTCAAAAGAAATGATAAATTTTCTTATTAAAAAATCAAAGAATTTTAAAATTTTTATATGCAATGAATGTTCTTCAGCTGTTGCGATTCCTCATCACAACTAACCTCTTCTTCAAATGTAAGAAGACTTAAGCCATTCTGGTATGCATTCACTCAAGAACTCACAAACTGGTGTTGATTACCCTTGAAATACTAGCACCCAAGTCAATTAGTGACTATTTAAAATGATAGTTCTTGGATTATGATTCAACTAAACCAACACCTTATGATCAGATGGCATATGGAAATGCTTTAAAGAAGATGCAATTTCTTCTTTGCTTCTTCCTTTTCTAAAGTTCTTAAAATCAGACTTTAGAGAGAAAACAAATCATATTAAAATGAATTAGTGTTTCTTGCTGGACACATACAACTAATTTTAGCAACAATTAATATTGATATAAAAAAAAATTTGCATGATAATTGCATCAATAAAGAAAATTTAAAGACGCTGATATTAAATTGGTTTGATACCTGCAGTATTAGAGATGTGGAAATGACTGGCCTGTTAAATAATTATAATTCAAGTATTGCAGCAAAAAAGAAAAGTATTAATTAAAATTTAGATCTAAAAATGTCAAATTATTATTGTCATTAGATCCACAGAAAGTAGTCATTAAATGAAAACATCATCTTGGTAAATTCTACATATCCCTAATCCATTTGAAATCGAGGCTGATAAGAGGATAGGAGTACTGCCGTCATTTCTTTTGATCTAAGAGAGAAACCTTCATAACTGGTTATAAGTAAAACAGAAGATAAGTCACCTATGTTTGTTTGTATCTTGAAGTTTAAAATACAATATATGGACAAAAATGATGATGGTTTAGAAAAATTAAATCTGAAACTGTTGATCTTGTCTCATTTCCATTTTTGCTCCATAAATCCTGTGACCATCCTCAGTGCAAGGTGGTCATCTGCACTAGTAAAACATGTAGATATTGTGAACATATCAAACAAAATCTTGATCCCTCAAAGACCTTTAGATGTACATATTACAAATCAACCATTGATGATGGAGCCTGTAATATATTTATAAAATATATTATGAAATCACAATAAGAGTCACTCACAATGTCAGGGATTACACCAGAGACACCTTATTGTAAATTGTCTGCATGGGCTTATAGGTTCAATGTAAGAGTTTAGTAGAACTTTTTTTAAATTAAAGGAGTTAATTAATTTTGTGATACAAATTTATTCTATGAAAAATTAAAAAAATATATCTACACATAACAAAGTTTGTGTGTAATGGAACAAAGTGATTGTAGGACTCCGCAAACTTCATATGTAGATAGGTTACTGGTCAAATTCATATATAAATTAATTTTTTTGTCAGTAATTGCCAAATTATTATGAATTTTACATCATTAATAGGGTCAATTATTTTAGTGTTGGGGACATTGGGAAGGTCTTAACAATTTTTTTAATTGTTTTTATTTGCCTGCTTTCTTTATTTAAAAACAATGATCACAAAAATAAAAAATATAACATTTATCAAAGGATATCCAAAAAAACATATACTCCTCAAAAAACAAAACCAATTCTTTATATATAGTAAATAATCAGTTGAGCTTTTCAATAGAACTATAATCTACTTTCAGATTTTGAAAAAAGATCTGAAATCACTGTCATTAAATTCAGCTTTAAAAAAAAATTCTCAATTTTTTTTTGTGAGATTTATGCAATAATAATTTTCGTGTTACAAAATTTAACTTTTATTATTAATAATATACGTTGTAAAAAATATTCTATAAAAAAAGTCTTGTCACACAAATTTTAAATGTATAACAAAATTTGGAATTTTCAAAAATATCAAGGCTCTGCCAACTTTTTAATTTAAGAAATAATTAGCCAATAAGTGTTGAAGCTTGAGTCGTGAGTAATAAAAATTATCGGTTAACTTTTTTAAAATCATATAAAAATTTTTTTAGTATTTTTAGTATTTTGAGCCAATTAATTGATTATAGATGATCTGCACCGTAAATCAATAAAATTTAACTTTGGTCTGGGTCAAATCATTCATATATGTGGGGGGGGTCCTATAACAATTTCCAAATTTCAAATTTAGTTAAAGATTTTCATATACCACATGGATTTTATAAAAAATTACAATAATTTTTTCAATTTTATTTATTGTTTTAATTTATCTTATTATAAAAACTGCAAGTTCATTGATCAAAAAAAAAAAAAACTTTTAAAATAACTGGTTTTTATAATTTTATTTTGTCACTTTAATAAATGACGAATATAATATAATAATATTTTTTCCACATTGGGATTTATAATATAATGAATGATATCGCAATATAACAAGTTATTTAAAGTTCACCAAATAAAATATGATACTTATTATTTATTTTGATCTTCAAATAATTAAACAAAATGAACTCATTCATATATTAAAACATTAAAGAAGAAAAATATAAATGTATTCAATTGAAATATTTGTTTACCTAAATCATACTCATTATGAAAAAAAAACCTCCGAGTTTGTATCGTTTATTATAGTTTGGTTTATATTCGTAAAAAAAATTAATATTGGCCCCTGAAAAATTGAAGGTTTCATAATGCCACAACTATAAATACTCACGATAAATTAATCCATACAATTATCGTTATTTATAATTTGTTCTTTACTTTTAAAAACCTAGACGAATCTCTTCTTTATCAAATAGTGTAAGTTGATTTTTATTTTTTATTTGCAGTTTACACGTTAATTTTGTTCTTCCTTCTTATTTTTCTTGGGAATCAGTCATGAGTTAAATTATTTTTGTTTTTTATTACTCTCAAGTCACAAAATACAAATTTACCAAAAATAAAATAATAATAATCTAGGTGATTTATTTATTAATGACACCAAAAATACATACTAACGGTAATTGTTGTCCTTGTGGCGATATCAACAACACGATTGATAATAATGTTAAACCTTCTTCAATAATAACCACTACTTCATCACCATCACCATCACCATCATCATCATCACCATCATCATCACCACCATCATCATCATCATCATCATCGTCGTCGTCGTCGCCTTTACCTTCATCCCCTGTATTAAACAATTACCTCGCCAAAACACAACCCACAAACACACAGGTTGCAAACAACAACAACAATCATCATTTTCACTTCAATAGCAATTTAGACAATTTCATTAATACCAACTTTGTGACATCCTCAAAGTCTATTGCCGATATTGATATCAGTAATACTGACATCAGAATTTTTTGTAACGAAGATATTCGTCTAGCTAATATAATTGTCTTTTGGCTACGAAGGCAGGGGGCTAATAATATTCGCTTATGCTATCCAATTAATAACCCTCATGTGAGTTGATTTATTTTTTTATTAAATAATTAGGGAGTTTTCCAGGAAAATCTTTGAATTCTTTGTTATTGCTACTTTTTATTATTCCTTTTACTTTAGATTTAAATAAAAAAATCTACATTAATTATCATAATGATAGTATTTGTTACACGATGAATTTATTTGATTAAGAAACCAAAAAAATCATCTTTTGTTTTACTGATTTAAAAAACCATTCCTGCAGTTTTTCAATTGATTTGTTCTAGATTCTTACAAAGTACATTAACAAATTTTATATACATAAATACAAAATATTAATTAAAAAAATAATCTAATAATAATAACAAAGGCTTTTTTTCATTTTTCAAATGCATTTGAAGATTTTCCTGGCTATTTTAAATGAAAATTTAAAATTTATCATTCCATTATATATAATTATTTAAAAAATTTCTTTTTATTTTGTAAAAAAAAAAACAAGTATGCAAACTCAACGTTAATAGATGATGCGATCAAACTGCCGGTTTATTGGGATAGGCATCAAATAGAATTAGGAATTTCAAGTTAGTAGATCATTACTAAATGTATTATGCATTTTTATGTTTTTTAATAATAATAATGGTTATTATTATAGATGCAGTTATAATTATAAGTATGTTTTATAATGATTTTGCAAATCAAGAGACATTATTGAATGCTTGTATTTGCAAAGGTGTTGCATTGTTTATAACGTGGGATTCGGGAATGGAACTGTAAATTATTTTAATTTTCAAAAAAATTTTTTTGTTCGAACCTTTTCTTGATTATTTTTTAATATTCGCACATATTATTTTTAGGGAAACATATGTAAAAGATAAACAATGCCCTAGAACAAGATTACATAAAAAATTGTTGGAATATAAAAATCTTACTGCAAATCAACCTGATCATATGTATTGGATTCTGTTTCAGGTTGGAATTTTTGACGAGGAAATATTAAGACATGACGTTTCAACAATCACTACAGCTTTCAATAATCCAAAGCAAAGCATATTCTTAAATATAACTGTAAAAGATGAACTGGCTCAATTAGTTGTCGAAGCAATTATTTCAAAAAAATTGCTAGCTGACAGAAATTATGTAATCGGTGACTTCGTTTCACATACCTATTTAGGTCATGTGTATCAAGTAGTCAATCACGGCGCATTATTTGATGAAAATATGCCTGCAGAAATTGGTGAATTCGAAACATCAAATAAATTACGCTTATCTGGAATTGTTTCCGCCAGGCCACTTCCAAGAATATTATATCCGGGTTGTAGTATTTTCTTCCACAATCTCGGAATTGAAATATCGTTCCAACATGAAGCAATAATCTACAAATTGCTAAATCATCATAAACGGATACCTTTAAAAGATTGGGTACGCGATTATATCCGTCAGAAACAAGAAAATTTATAATTAATCTTTCCTTCCCCAAATAAATATATGTCCTTTTAAGATTATTTATATATTTATATTAATGTTATTTTATATATCATATATGTATACGGAAAATCAATAAGATATTTTTAAGAATTTAAGGTTGTGGCACCACTATATTTAAGTTATTATATGTAACACGCTAATAAAATTTTATATGTAAAATCCAATTAGTAAATAAGACTTTCAATTTAATTTCTTATTTGATAAACTTGCTCGCACACCAGTTTTCTCCATTTATCTTTACGTAAATAAATAGACAAGAGTAAATAATCTTTAATTTATATAATAAACAAAAACAAACGAAAAGAGGGGGAACTATAAATACATAAACGCATGCATACATGTAAACAAATACAATTATTATCAAGTATTATTGATTAGAGAAGTGGAAAATTGAATTGCAAATTATATAAGGGTGATCTTATATATAGGACGGTTCTGTGGCTAAATATACAGGACCTTCTTAATTTGGAAGTGGCACGTATGATCCGCATGATTTTATAGAACCTGAATTAGCAAGGGCTCACGCAGACCATAGGTGCCACTTCCAAATTAGTGAGGTCCTGTATATAGGATTTTCCATACATGATGGCGAAATAGTTTTGTTTCGACAATAATTTCGACGATTAGGGTTCAAACATTTCAAATATACCCTAACAGGTTTCAAAAAAATCAAAAATCAAAATCAAAGTTCAAAATCAAAATCAAAATTCGAAATCAAAATTTGTAATCAAAATTCGAAATTCGAAATTCGAAATTCGAAATTAATAAACTTTTTTTGCATTTTTGCATTCATGTCTTTAAATAATAATAATAATAATAATCCTAGAGTCCGAAATCTTTATTTACCAGATTCCAAAAAGAGTGGAAGACCACCAAATAGTATATGGCGTTATTTTGATAAAGGAAATGAAAGATTTCCTGGAAAATATGATGCAAGTTGTAAATATTGTAATGACAGAAGTTCATGTGGAAGTCCTCAATTAATGGAAGAACATTTAGCTAATAACTGTGCAAATGTGCCTGTTGAAGTCAAAAATTTTATCTGGAAATTGTATTGAATAGACATCATCTAGAACAGGGTTCATCAAATGATTCTAATTCTGTAAATTCGTTTAATTCATCCAATACAAATAGAAAAAGACAAAAAAATCAAGCTGGTCTTAATCAATGACAAGATATGAGTCTTACTTTGATTCTGCTACCATTACTAGTCAAAAACAAAAATCAATTGATCAAGCATTGACACAGATGTTTGTTTGTTGTGGACTTTCATTTTCACTTGTAGAAAACCTTTTTTTTGTGGAGTTTGTCAATCAATTAAAACCTGGATATATATTATCTACCAGGCATAAATTAGCTAATGATTTTGTAAATGAGGAAGTGGCAAATGTAAATGTGAAAACTGATCTTGAAATTAGGAGACAAAATCATATGACTTTAGGTAAATTTATTATCTATTTACTTTATTTATTTATCCATAAAGGTTAACCATTTTTCTTCTTGATTTAACATTGGACAGATGGACCAAGACAAATAATCAATCAAAAATATCCCCAAATATATTAAATTTAAGATGCATCACTCATTCTATAAACCAAATGACTAAAGATATCGTTGATAAACCAAAAAACTTTAAATGGGGATATGATGTTCTTCATAACTGTTCAAAAATTATTTCATTTTTTAAGCATTCTCATCAAGCTAATTAAATTTTGAATGAAGCAATAAAAAAATATGAGATCTCTGGTGGGGGTTAAAGTCATACATAAAAACATGTTGGTCCTCAGCCTGGGATTGTTTATATTCTGTTAAATGGCTGGAGAATTGCTTTATCTGAGTAAAAATCTTTGACATTACATTATACAATATTAAATAATTTGGCTTGACAATAATGATCACTCTTTTGTTGTATAAATTATTTCAGATAACCCTTCTGTCATTACTAATAGAGAAGTTAATGAGTTGTTACGAGTTAGAAACTTTTTTGCTGATGTGGAAATTTTATGTGATATTCTGAAACCCATCAAAGAAGCAGTGATCTCATTACAAGCCAACAATACAAATTTGGTCGAGTGTTTCATTAAGATGTGTTGTATTGGTGCCACACTCAAAAAATTATTGATTTAAAAAATGATTGTTATAACATTTACAATAAGAGGTTTGATGATTTTAGTGATTATGAAGGATACTTATTATCTTATTTTTTGCATCCATTGTATTCTGGTAAATAATTTAATTCATCAAGTTCAATTTAGTGTTTTTTCTTATTTTCTTATTTTCTTATTAACAAAAAAAAATAGGCAAAAGATTTGAAAATAAGGAATTCAAAAATATCACTGGTATTGCAGGAAAATTTGCAAAAAACTTTGGTTATGGTTTTGATTCAATTAATGAACTGCTTTTTCAAATACGTAAATATAAGATGAATGAAATCCGATATGAAAATATGCAGTATACACCATATGATACATCAATTAGTTGGTGTCCACTTGCGAAGATGATTTTGATCACTTACAGAAGCTAGCAATTAGGCTTTTTTCAGTCACACCTCACACAGCTAGCTCAGAAAGACTCTTTTCTGTTTTATGATGGTTTTATGGTCAGTGAAGAAGTAGGTTGGCAACCAAAATAGTTGAAAATTTGGCTAAAATTCACACATATTATGTCACCAATGCAAAAAAAGAATTCAATTATTATGGAAAAGATTTATCAGGAAAAGAAGTCACATCTAAATGCATTTTATCAACAATGAACTTGGGTGAAGGTTTTGAAGATGAAAATGATTTTTTAACTGATTATGATGAATATGAAAATACCAATTCGGATGATGATGATTTAAACATTGAATTGGATGACAATGTTACTACTTTAAAAATTGAAGAAATAATTGATCTTAATGATTCTATTTTTAATATAGACCAAAACAATGATAATATAAATGAAAACCAGGAAGTAAGCAGAAATGAATCAACAGAATATAATGTTGAAGAATTAGTTAGCCGATTTTTAACTGACTATGATAATATGTAAAAAAAATAACTTCCATGTATTTGGGCTTTTTAAAATGAACATAAAGTGCTTTTATTTCAATTTTTTGAATTTTGATTTTTAATTTTGAATTTAGATTTCAATTTTTTCAATTTTTTCAATTTTGATTTTATTTTGCCAAGGGTATTTCGATTTTGAAAACTTGTGATTTTTTCAAAAGTTTCGAATTTTATCAAATGACTTTCACTATCATGTATGATAAAGTAATAATATTTATTATTAATATTTGTCAGTATATCCATATCCATTCACCATATTATATGGTGCTCGGATAATTAATTGCATATATATATAACTATTAATAAAAACAAGTATTAATAGATAGATATAATAAGAACATTACATCTACCTGCAGTCTTTCTTAAATTTGTATATAAATGATGGCTTTTATTCATAATGGGGTAATAAATTTGTTTATCTGTAATTAAAAGCATGGTGGAAGTTTGATTTTATTGGATATAAAATGTGACAAAATAAAATTTAGGTTTTTACCAAAATTAGAAAAGTTTAAGGAAAATCAAGATTTATATGGAACGTGTAACGTTGATCACAGCGAACAAAAAATTTAATGTGTATATATAATATATATAATATACACACACGAGAGCTTATTCCTATATTACCACTACCACTACCACTACCACTGTCATCTCATTCTTGTTCTACTGCTATTGTTACTGTTACTGCTAGTGCTACTACTGCTTTTAATGTGCCATTATTACATCTGATGCCACTACATTAGAGAAAGTTAAATCTTTCGAAGAAATATTCTATTTATGAATTGATTATTAAGTAATAATATTTATTATTAATATGTCAGTATGTCCATGTCCATTTACCATATTATTCTACGGATAATTAGTTGCATATATAACTATTAATAAAAACAAGTATTAATAGATAGATATGAATAAGAACGTTACATCTACCTGCTTCTTAAATTTGTAATATAAACAATAGCCTTTATTTACAATGGAGTAATAAATTATTTATTTGTAATTAAATTATATATATAAATAGTTTAATAAGTAGTTAATAATACCATAAATAAATACCTCTTTAATATTAGTAAACTCCGCAGGTATTGATGTATGGCACATGTTTAAACAAACAATCTATGCTTGGTTATATGTCTAGTAGTAGAGTCTCATCTGTGATTGTATTGGAAAAATAGTTTTTTTTTTAAATAAAGCGAGGTTACTATTTAAAATCTCTTAATTTAAACGAAAATACTTTTATATTAAACCTTCACTAATACTTGCGTTATCGAGATTAAATTTCAACTGAATAACCTTCTCAATATGTTGCATCTAATAATATAATTACTTTTAATATCCTAATAGAAAAATTGTTTTGTTAAAGATAATGTAAATTAGCTAAAAAACATCATATAATTTTGGTTGCTTATATTAAAACTTTATGAATACTTATGTTATCGAGATTAAATTTTAACCAGGCAATCTTCTTTATATTAATATACGAAAGAATTATTTTTTATATACATTGTAATACAAAAACAAGAAATTCGCAATTGTAAAACACATTTTTATTATACGAAGTACTTTAAAATTATATAGTCACACAACATAAATTTGAGATCGTCACAAAGTGATAAATGTGATAAAGAGAAATTCCACCATGCTGTTTTTAGGTGTTTAGAAAAATAATTTTATTACCTTCTATTTTATTATCTGTTTCAAATTCAGTGTTTGTTCTTAAAAGTACAACTAAATCTGATTGATTATTTTTTTCATCATAATTTAGGTCTCTTTGATCCAACAATTTTTTAATATCATCTTTCTTTAATTTGTCCAATCCCATACCTGGTTCTAAAGAATAAGTGGTAATTTGAGACATAGATGTTAATGATGATGTACTTTAATATATTTAAATATAGAATATATAAAAATTTTTTTTGTTTATTGTTTTATTTAGAAAAAATACTAATTCAAACCTGTTGATGACATTGGTTAAACTTGCACCCAGAACAACATCTATATCCTAATAATAAATTACTATTTCATTGCCTTCAGTAATACATGTATAGTATTGTCTGCCATTTTGTTCTATGCTTGTTTCCCAACCAACTCTCCCTGGATAAAGTAACGCACCTTCTTTTACTCTTCATAACCCACCATTCTCTTGAATCTATGCCATAGTGCAAGTGTGGCTTTATTTGGTTTATTGAAATGAGATTTACAGTAAAATTGGGATGGTTAGTCATTTTAAAATTTTTAAAAATTAAAATCAGCTCAATATTATTTTTACTAAGTAATTTTATTATGTTTATTATCCCCGCATTTTACTATATTAAAATGTATGTCGAATAAAAAAAAAACTATAGTATATATTAATTATTGCATTCATAGTTTTTTTTATTTAATAATAAACTCAAAAATAATAATAGGACTTGTCTTCCATTGTATTCGATCTCCCATCTAGGAGCATGTTACTAGATTGTTTGTTAACAACCATGCGAATACACTACCCAACAAGTCCTGTTTAACAAAGGTAATATTATTCTATAAACATAAAAAAAAATTGTTTTCGTTTTTCCTCTGCTTTTCAAACTTTTGATAATGAATATCAAAACCTTGCATTTAACCATATATCACAACAACAACAAAAAATTCCAAACAGTAATCACTGATCCTCATGATACATTTGAAACTTTATTGACCAGTATAGAAGAATTTATGTATTTCAAAGATGATGTTATTGGATGTTACTTAAAACTTGGGAATAGATGGAGTGAAGTGTCTTTAAATGATTCCACATTCATGGCATTCGCACCAGAAATAAAACATGTCAAATATATATTAACAACAAGTAAATACTATTTTTTATTAAATAAATTTTTATTAAATATATATTTATTCAAAAATTAAATTGCAAATTTTATAAAAAGATGACAATAATGATGATGATAAAGATGAAGATGATGGTGACAATAAAGATGTAGACAATAGCAACAATAACGACAATAATAGCATGGAAATACAATAATATATATATTTATATATATCAATTTTTTTTTAATTAAAAAATACATTTTTGACTATGTCATGACTTTTGGTAATGGATGGAATTTCGAATAGTCTTAAACATTTCAAATAGTCATAAACATTTCAAATAATCATAAACATTTTGTATCACTTTTATTTTTTTATTAGAACGTCTAAAGCATTTTCTTTATTTATAAAAATTAATAAATGTTACACGGAAAAATCAGATTTTTTCAATACAAAAACTCAAAAAATCAACATATCATAAACAGAAAACTTTTTTCTTTACATAATTAATAGCAATAAAAAATACATAAATATGTTCTCTGAGATTTATTTTATTTGTATGCACAAAAAAAATTTATCTTGCAAGACAAAAGTATAGTAACTTTTTTTTATAAAAGGTTACCGATTAGTGTTTTTTTGGTCAATTTTCCCCCGCCGATCACTATATAACACTCACCGATTCATAGACGGATCGTCAATTAAATTTTTATTATATTATTTATTATTTATATTGTTATTATTGTTAAATATTAAATAAAATTTTTTGGAAAAAAGCTCCCAAGTTTTGTAATAAATAAGGAAATGATACACATATACTGAATTTTTGGGTCAAAATCTTTTTTTTTTGATTATCTCAAAATCGTGATTTTGACGTTTGGGCTGTTTCTATTGTCCATGCCCCATATATATATATACAGAATGTTATTTTTATTTTTATAATAAATATACAGTTGGCAAAAGAAACTTAATTCGCAATTTGCCAGAAACGGAAAGAAATTACATATGCAGATCAGGGCAAAATTTCTTGATTTTATAATAAAATAATTTTTATCATGTAACTTTATCTCCTGCTGATACAAAACCTTATTATCAAGTACCACACTCATGCATAATAAAAAACATTAGTATAATCTATAATTTTTTTTCTTGTTAAGAAACTATACATTTATTTTTTATTACTAAAGCACAAACTCAAAATCAGCTCAGGATTATGGGTAGAAAAACATACTATTAAAATAAATTCACTTATTATGATTTACTTGAGAAAAGTAATAAAAACTATTTATTTAGTTATTTTATTTGTTTTTTTAGCAATTTCTAGCTTGTGCTGTCGGAATACCTACTAATACAATTTTCAATTGTACTTAATTTTGGCATGTCAATTACTTCCAACTCACCTATTTCCACGTTTTTTTTCAATTCTTCAAGCATTTCTTTAGGTGTATATCATTCACTTTTACATGCATCACCTGTATGAAAAAGATTTTTAATAACTCAACTACTTTATCAGACATATGTTTTCCACCGCCTTTCTTTCCTAATTCCTGATTTTCTTTCAAAGCCCAGCAAGTGGGAAGTAATTTCTATATAAATAAATGGAAGAATTTTATCAAATAGTTCTTCTATAATAGATAAGCTCTTTTTTTTTTTCTTGATTGTAAATTATCCATATCATCTTCATCATCCATTATTACATCTAAGTCCATTCTTTTCTTTGCTTCTAGATAATAAAAACATATAATTAGCCAAGTATTTAGGTGTTTAGAAAAATAATTATTACCTTCTATTTTATTATCTGTTTCAAATTCAATGTTTGTTCTTAAAAGTACAACTGAATCTGATTGATTATTTTTTTCATCATAATTTAGGTCTCTTTGATCCAACAATTTTTTAATATCATCTTTCTTTAATTTGTCCAATCCCATACCTGGTTCTAAAGAATAAGTGGTAATTTGAGACATAGATGTTAATGATGATGTACTTTAATATATTTAAATATAGAATATATAAAAATTTTTTTTGTTTATTGTTTTATTTAGAAAAAATACTAATTCAAACCTGTTGATGACATTGGTTAAACTTGCACCCAGAACAACATCTATATCCTAATAATAAATTACTATTTCATTGCCTTCAGTAATACATGTATAGTATTGTCTGCCATTTTGTTCTATGCTTGTTTCCCAACCAACTCTCCCTGGATAAAGTAACGCACCTTCTTTTACTCTTCATAACCCACCATTCTCTTGAATCTATGCCATAGTGCAAGTGTGGCTTTATTTGGTTTATTGAAATGAGATTTACAGTAAAATTGGGATGGTTAGTCATTTTAAAATTTTTAAAAATTAAAATCAGCTCAATATTATTTTTACTAAGTAATTTTATTATGTTTATTATCCCCGCATTTTACTATATTAAAATGTATGTCGATCCTTTCCATTTATCACGAATTGCGAATTAAATAATTTTTCAAAACAAAAAAAATTGTGCTCATATTTTTATTAATTTTGGACGATTGAAATATCTTCACCTTCATTTGTATATTCCAATCTATCTATTATTTGTTTTATTAAATAAATTATGTCATAACCAATGACAGGATTTTTATCTATGTTTAAATAAAATAATCAATGTGTACACGTCGATCAATTCACAACTTCTTTTTTTTCCAAAATGTCTGACAGATTAAGAAATACGAGAAGAAGAAGAGATGACAATAAAGGAGAAGCAATTATGTAAGTGTTTTAAGGATGGTGGTGGTGGTGGTGGTGGTGGTGGTGGTCGCCACTCGTCGTTACTCTAGTTTAATTTAAAAACACTTTCTAAATAATATTTACGTATTTAGGATTCAAAAATTTTCATCAAAAATAGTTCATAGCAAACATTTAACGTGTTCTTTAGAGGCATTACAAATAAAAGAAAATGTAAGATAATTAACAAATATAAAGAAAATTTTAAAGCTGTAAATTTTAATTTACTGATTAAAGAAATTTTACAGGAATTTGTTATTATTGATCTAGCGGAAGAGGGCATTACTTTTAGTGTATCAAGCATTTATAATACTCAAGGTTCTATTTAATTATTAAAGATCATTATCATGCCATAATCATATTAATTAATCAACATAACTTAAAAAAAATTAGCAACAGTGTTTTGGAATTCTAATATATTTGAAAGCTATGATTATAACAACACTGTTTCTGGCCGAATCCGACTCAAAGTTCATTTAGATTCTTTAGTTTCTGTTTTAAAAACTTTTAATATTACACTTATACATGAAAGTAGTAGTGCTCATTGGTCGATTTCATATGATGTTGTTGATGGCAGCCTTATGATCAAGTAAGTAATTATTAATTATCATCATCATTATTTAAATAAATTGAAAAGGTGAAGGAAGGAATTATTGATAGTTGATTAATTATAAATTCTTTTGAATAAAATAAATAGAACGAATTTTTTCGGAGGTGCAAGAAAAGAGTCTAGGCTGACTACTACTTTAATTGATGATGAAAACAACGAATTTAATTTGTTAAATGATCAATATGTAAATCAAAATACACTTTATGAAATTAAGATCAAGGTAATTATAAAGTACCAAATTATTGTCATAATTATATAACACTATCATTTATATTAGAAACTTTTTGTTTTCTCTGCCCAAATATTAGTCAACCTATTTGAAAAGTTGCTTATTAAACATCGGAGTTATGAAAACTTTCAGTGTTGAAATAAAATGTGAAGCATCAAGATCTAATGACTGTGACAGTGACAATGAAAACAGACATTTTTTATTATTTTCAGCAATTGATGTTTATGGAAGAAAAGAAGTACGATGCAATCTCTTATTTATTTATTATTTTAGAATGATGTTATCGTTTATATTTCTCTTTATCTAACATTATTCTACCCTAGTGCAAAATTCCAATTGCATGTCCTCTAAATCATCAGGGACTAACACCATCATTTAGGTAATTTATATATATATTTCATAATCTTTTTAAATTTTATAATGATAATAAAGATTATTATTAATATTAATAGTTATAAAAACCTGTGTCCACAACAAATTTTACCAATGATGCCAAGAGAAATAAATGCAGAAATAATTATTAAAGAAAATGGAATGATGTTGATCAAGGTTAGTAAAAAATTTATTCCATTTAAAATAAATAGATATAATAATAATAGTAAATATTAAAAAAAAATATCAATTTTTTTAATTAGGTTCCTATAAGTGAAAATTTGAACATTGAATATACAGTAACTATATTATAATTTATTTATTTTTTATTTCTAAAACAAACCATAATATATATTTATTTATTAACAAATTTTTATTTCTTGAAATAGTTTTTTCCTTTAAGTAATGATAATTGATTTAAATACATAGCTATGAACCTATACACTATGATTCAACAAGAAAATTCAACATTTCAGAATCATATCTTAATTTTTTTTACACTCATAATTGTCTTAAAACTTAGCAAAATTTGTTTAATGCTTCTGATTTGCTTATTAAAAAAAAATGTTTAAATTACCCTCACTTGAATGCCATCATTCTCATCCTGTTGTAACATAATCAATCTCCCAAAAAATTTTCGCAAATCTAATAATTAATTGTTAATTATGTGAAAACATCCATGAATATAGGGTTTCTATTTGAATAAGTTTTATTCGAATTATTCACTTTATTCGTTATGAATTTGAGTATTCGAATTACAATGAATGTTTATTCAAATAAATTTTAATTCGAATAAAACGAATTATTCGAATAAGAAAATTGATTCAAATAAGGAAATTAATTCGAATAAAAAATTAATTCAAATAAGAAAATTAATTCAAATAAGAAAATTGATTCGAATAAGGAAATTAATTCGAATAAAAAAATTAATTCGAATAGGAAATTAATATTAATATTAATATTAATATTAATTTGAATAAAGCAAATAATTCGAAAAAATTAATTCGGATAAAACAAATAATTAA